ATACTCACACACTCACCCCAGGGCCAATTTCCCCAGAAGCCAGCATGTGTTTGACTGCAGGAGGAAACCCACACTAACGCAGGAAGAACATTCAAACTCCACACCGACAGCACCCCAGGTACTGACCCCAGGGCTCCAGTACTGAGAGGCAGTGATGCTGACCACAGCACCACCTCTCATTACACATGTGCTGCAGCACCACGATCACTCAGGACTGCTACAGTCAGCAGGAACAGCCTTCTCCTTCCATGGCAGGCCAGGAGAATGAAAGAGATACCGACCTGTGGCGATCACGGCTCGCTCTCCAAGGATTCTCACCAGAACAAGTTAAAAAAGGCACAGTTTACAGGTCAGATGGCAAGAGCTGGACTTGTGACCCTACTGGGAAAACAACATGTGGGTTGACATTTCACTATCAGGTAGAACCCTTATCTTAAGATTGCCCTTGTTGTGAGGCAGAGACAAAGCTGTTCAAACACACACGCTCTTGGCCAGTGAAGTTACGCAGCTGTTTTTAACTGGTCAGAACTGCAGACTGCAGCCTTCTTTTCAGCTAGGGAATATTGCCAATAATGAGAGAAATAAGGAACTTTAGACAGGTCACAAAAGGAGGCTTTTCTGCCAATTCCAAGCCATTTGGTACTTGATAGCCAACTGATCTGAAAATAACATCCAGACCTATTTTAAAAGTCAGGCCATCAGAAGAAAGCTGACTGCTTGTCTAGCTGCCGATAGGAAATCCGTCAGAGCGTCTGGAAGGGATGTAAAAGTCCGAGCATCCCGCTGGAGGGAGCAGTGAGTCAGGATGGCGTGTGGAGATTCTTCATCAGGGTGGAAAATCAGGGCCCTTTGCAGCACAGTTTCCTCCCTTCTACCACTTAAACCCTCGACTGGCACAGAAACCCTACTTCTTCACGCATGTCTGAAGTCTTCATGGTTGTTAGAATAGACCTACAATAGAGAAATTCTTCTTTTATGCTACCAGTGTCCAGACCTAATAAAAAGCAGCGCTTGACTGCACTGCGACACGATATTCTCTTCTGCATCCCGTTCAGAATACCTCAAGAGATGTCAGCAATTCATGAACAAATTGCATCATCTGGCCAAGGAACTTCTCCATCTTCCAGCGCTGCTCCTAACCACAGAGCAGCCCACCCATCTTTGCACAAGGCTGGACAGGAATCTCTGCAATACCTTATAGCTTCTGATTTCTGCAATCAAAAACCAGACTCTTTAAAATGGCTCTAGCCAACTTCTTCAACAGTACCAACATTTTAAAACCTAGGTTTGCATTTTTAATGATCATTTCAAGTTTTATCAAAAGGGTTATGGTCCTATTTAATTCAATAGTTAAAATAATAAAGCACAGATTATACAAATCCAAAGAGGAATATCTGTGTAATGAGCATGCACCCTGTGTATTACTCCCACACCCCCAGATTAAGAACCCCTGGGCTAGACAGTGTACACGATGCTTTCACAGTGTTAACACCTGCGTCTCGTTGGTCACTAGCCTCTGCTAGTGCAGCGCTGCCCTCTTCGCCAGTCGAAGGGAAGCCACAACAAGACCACTTTTCCCAGCCCTGCTGCTTGGGCATCTCCCACGGGAGCACAGCACTCTCTCCCGCGTGCTGGGGCACCGATCCGAATTTCTCCGGTCTCCCCTCAGCTCCACACACTTTTACAGAGAGAGGCTCTCCCTTGTGCTCTCTCCTGGTGTCTTAAACTAGAAGCAGG